TCTCTCTCTCTCTCTCTCTCTCTCTCTCTCTCTCTCTCTCTCTCTCTCTCTCTCTCTCTCTCTCTCTTCTTTGTCTCTAAGCTTTATGTGATTGATAGGTTTAATCCTGCCTGTCCAAGATCGAGGGCTGTCAATCATGCGAGAATGGCCGGGCCCAGACACCGCAGAGCGTACGAGGGAGATAAAGTCTCTCAGCTCGAGTGTATCAGCGGGCTTCAGCGGCGTACTCAAAGAAAATTTACCGACACGCTGGAGGCACTCAGGAACAACACTTGTGCATAAATGCAGCAACTAAATCACTTGCACGTCCTCGCACTTTCCACGCGCTCACTGGGCGGCTGACGCTTAGCTCGTCTCTGCTTTCGCTTTGACAAACAAGGCGAACCGGATAAAGTGCTTCCGTCATAAATATTTCAGATTCAGTCGTGGTGATTGCGTTTAATTTATCTCGGTTTGCATTCTGCACTGATTGAACGCCTTAGTGACTTTGACATAAAGCAAGTCATTCGAAGAGAAGAAAAGGCGTTTTCACACTTAATCGCCACGCGTAAAGTCTAATATCTCTCATCGTACGAGTCATAAAACAAGCAGCACTGCGGAGGAGTTGTAAATCCTCCCCGAATATGCGTCCGTCGCACCGGCGGCGCGTTCTTTGGCGGAGTGACCGTGGAGCGGTTCTGTGGATTATGAGCCTTCCACAGTCACCCCCACCCCTCATTATCATACACTGCTTTTTGCTTCAACAGGAGGCGAATGAATGCTTGATTATCCCAGATAATCACTTCTGCTTCTCATGCCAGTGCTCTGTCAGATTTATGCGCCCGGTGCATGTATTTCCCGAGCGCTGTACGGACAGGCCCGGTCCAGACCCCTGCTTCCCTGTTCCCCCTGTGTTGATGAGCTCTCCTGCAGAGCAGCCAGTGGTTTTGAAAGGAGGATAATTACTCACTGACCAGGCTTTTTTTTTTTTTTTTGGGGTGAGAATCACCTGAAGCTCTCGCTGAGCTCCGACTTTGTATTCTGAGCCATGCTACCCACCCGAGGTTGTCAAGGTTGCAGACGTGTCGACACTAATGAGAAAAAGCCACCAAAAATCAAAGTCCGGGGCCAGTCGTGCTCCTCATTTTCCCCGTGTCCACCTCTCCTCATATCAGGAACAGATCAATTCTTCACTCGCAGCAGTCCAATTAGAAAAGTGCACGACGTAATGAGGACCTCTTCCTAACAAGGTGGACACAACGGGCGAAATGAAAGATGGATTTATAAACAGTGAAGTCGAACTAATCCAACACTGGGGCTGAGTGACTGCTTTTATTATCGCTCTACGTGGTTAGAAACAAGTGCAGGGTTGTGTGTTTGTTCTTACGTGTGTTCTAGGAAGAGATTTATTAAGAAAAAGGCCAATGATTTTCTGATTTGGGATATATATTTTTTTAATTTTGGAACAGTTCTTGCAATAATGTAATTGTCTTTGTCTGTATTAGTTGGCTCATTAACCACTTGGCATATTTTAATTAAACTACCTAGGAAGTAATGATTGGATGAACCTCTACAACTGATAAACTTCTGGAGATAAACCCAATGGGGACCTTCACTCAGGCTATTTTTAAAACACGAGTCACGTGACTATTTCCGCTCGACACTGATGCACGTACAAACTCTCTGTGCTGGTCTAGCTGCGTTTAAACTTAAATAAACTTAGAAAAACAGCATCAAACTCCACCGGGAGGCCCACAAAACAAGGTGCTACGCTTCTTAAAACTGGATACAGCCGTCATCCCAACATGAAAGGAGCATCGATTACTTTTCCTAAGCTTAATGTCTGCTCCAAACATTTTATCGGATGTAAAAGGTCTGTCTATAACAGAGGAGCCCAAAGTGGGGCCCGCAGGCCAGATTTGGCCCGCCAAGCCATTTGATTTGGCCCACCAACAGTTGCCAAAGTTACTAGGTTGTAACCTGTTATCCTACAGGTAGAAACACAGTATTTCCATTGGTCAAATGACTATATAAAAGGGCTGTAGTGAAGTAGTTTTCAGTCATGGTGCTGTCATATCTTTGATTTACTAGGATTAAACAAGAAACATGAAATGTCAAGAAATATTTAGATCAGATTTAACCCCGCATGTAGATTTGCMCACTTTATAAGGCCASAAAAACTCATATTTTATCAATTTATGAWATGTCCCATGAGCCTTTGCTACTTGAGCGTACGGCAGACTTTCTCCAAGTGCACAGACTAAAACAAAAGAGGGCCATTGCACAGCTTAATTGTTAAAAATAAATTACTTTACTTAAAAAAGTATTTGTATTTCATGTATTATATAACTGCATTTGGCCCGCAGCCTTGGATAGATTTTCATTTTGGCCCCCTCGGGGAAAATGTTTGGGCGCCCCTGGTCTATAAACAGTAAACCTTATTGTTTTTTACTGTAGCCTACTGCTAGCTTTACTCCTAGCGTTCATGCTATCCTCATGCAGCTATCTACTGCAGTCACATATGGTGATGTTATACTTATTATTATATTATACACAAATTCTAAACATCACCATTAAATTTGTTTAAACGATGCAGAAGCAGTGTCTCAAGTGATAAAAATACACACACAAGGTGCAGCTAAGCTAAGCTATAAAACGACATCAGTAAAATCACCAACCTTTTTAAAAAAATTCCTGTTATTTTCCAAGTCTGTTGAAGACTACAGGCCTCCAGACAACCTTTCAAAAGAACTTCCTGTGATTCCTGCTGGATTTGTCGAAATTTGCTTTAGGAACGTCTCTTTCTGTTACAGGATTAACGCAGACTCTCCGTAGAATCTGTTGTGTCTGTCCGATCGTTTGAGCGAGCGGCAGATAACGTATGCAAATGATGTGCGTGACGTCACGAGCGAAGGTCCCCTTTCAAGATGGCCACCACCATCAGCTAACCTTAGCATCACAAAACTGGTTATAACTCAACAAGTTGAACAGAAATTGAGCTAAAATTTGAGTTTGTATGAGATTCATTTAGAAAATACTCAAGAGCTGCCAGATCATGAAAGGTAGAGAGCAGAATGCAATCCTTTAAGGGATTTTGAAATATTTTTTAGTTATTATTACAAAAACAAACACTTTCTATAAATAACCAATTATCATTATTTATCTTGAGAAAAGAAGCTTTGCTACATCAAGCAAAAACAAAATTAAAACAGCGTTGAAATAAAATTTGTTCTTCAGATAAATATATTGTTACTGCCAGAGGTACAAGAAATAACTAAGTGAAAGTGAAAACACTATACCTTTAACAGAAAACTACTTTGGAAAAAGTGAATTTCATTTAAAAGTAAAAGTCATAAAACTGCTTGCAATAATCAGGAAAATAAAAGTATTTTTTATTACAAATCCTTCAAGATATTACTTAAATAATACTACTTCGTTACTTCGTTACACCACTGATTATTGCAAGCTGTGAATAAAAATCTGGGATAATTGTTGTGATTTTCAGCAGGAATCCAAGTTAAGATGGCTTTTAGTATAATTATAGATTCAGGTGAATGTCTGTGTGCGAGTATTTTATTATTTTGTGCCCTTGCGTGTGCATGCACATGCGTTTGTGTGACTGTGTTTTTTTGGCAGCCAGATGAAGCGAGACACAGCTGTCGCCAGAGCCGCTCGCCTGTCTGGTCAGCATCATGACAACAGCTGCTCGCTGACCCTCGCGTTGGGTTTGCCGCCGTCATCTGCGCTCTGTCAACCTCTTCCAGCTAACTCCAAACTCGGCTCCAAGACCTTTCCAGAGCCCCGCTGCTGCCACGCTGCCAAGCGAGGCTTTAAACGTTGAAGGGGGAAAAAAAGAGTTGTTAAAATTCTGAAATGTTCCAGAACTTTAGTTTTTTTTCTTCACACCATTAATTTGTTATTTGCAGTGCATCTGTTAAGGCTGAACAGAGGATTGCTCGACCTACAGCAGTTATTTCATCACTGTGGCTTTATATTGTTAAGCAACCTTTTTTTTTTTGCTGTGATTTGATTAGAGCATCAATGAAAACTGATAATTGGCATCCATTAAATGCAGTGATGAACTTGTGTTCACTAAAGAAATGTGCTCACGGAGGAGCTGGTGCTTCTTCATGTTTTCTTACAAAGTTGTTTTAAAAAAAAATCAATTAGCTGCGTTTGTGTTGCGTGGTCTCTGTGAAGAAGTCGTGTCTGAGTCAGTGGCAGGAAATTTGTCATATTTTGAGGGTCTGTCTGGTAACTGATTAACGAGGCGAAACGTTTTGCTCTGTGCCACCGTTTCACAGCTGCTTTTTGTTGCTTAAATTAATCTGATGTCCTGCCGCTTAACTTTGTTAAACCCCTTTTTAAGTTCTAGGAGACTCGTCAGAACAAGGCAGTGGTTGAACCCAGATTTTGGGTCCTTTTTTTTTTTTCGTCTGGTTCCAACACGCAGAATTGATGAAGTCTCGTGGATTAGCTGGTTCACTTTAGGTGATGTTTGTTAGCAACACTGGAAGCTTGGATTAGAAGGAGTTTAGGGACGTAAGATGGAGGTCAGAGCGAGGTAACCATCTGCTGGAGAACATGAAGAACCACCATGTTGTTCTTTTGCATGGCTGCTCCATGAACGATGTCATCTTATCTTATATTTTTATTGTTTTACCTGTGGGCTCATTAGGACTGTACAAACACCAGATTCTGAAGTGGTTTGTTTTTTGCTTTTTATCAATTGTCTTGGTTTTAAGGTTGTATCAGATACAGCCTAAAATACAGTATATCACATTTAGACCATTTAGTGGTATTTGTACTGTATATGTAGTACATATGGTTGGGCGATGTTGGCAAAAAAAAATCACGATTAATTGTGATATATAGCCAATAACGATTAATGACAAATAATCACCTGGAGCCCCTGGATGTCTACATGCTCTAGTCCAGGGATATTCAAATAAATTGCTCCGGGGGCCACAATTACGCCAGCTCAACAGCTGAGGGGCCGAACATCCAGCAATGAAAGTCATTATGTAATTAAATCAAGTATCACAAAGATTTGTTACATTTGAAATAGTTTATTTTACTACATTTAATCATAAATACAACTTACAGAAACCTATGTAATACAAGTAGTGATAATACAACAAAAACAAAAATAACACATTTTGCCTCTTATTTACTACAAAAAATATTTTAACATCTCTGACTTGCCAAATTTTTAAACCAATTTTATTTTCACTTTTATAGTTTTATTTTCAACTGTTTGTAGTTTTAACTGTCTTGGGTGTTCATTGAAATAGTTTTTACCAGCTTGTAGCCAAGATTCTGACATTTCTGTAGATATCAAGCATGTCTGTTTAAGAACTTAGAGTAATTAAAGTGGAAAACCGGGGAATTGGGGTTAAGAGATGAATGAACCAATTGGTGGGCCGAACTTTGGTCACTCGCGGACCGGATGTGGCCCGCGGGCTGCCAGTTTAATAGCCCTGCTTTAGTCACATGACCAATTTAAATCACTCTAGTGAGAAAGATTTGCTCTCAGAAGTGTCAAAAGTGTAGACTTCAGGCTAGTCATCAAATTTTAGTAAAACTGGAGTTATGATAAATAAATTACAGAACCTTTTTTAAAAATGTTCGTCAAATTTGAAGTGGAGAGGAGCATCGAGCAGACTGACCGGGAAAATTTCCACTCGGTCATTGTCAAGTGCCAAAAAATAATCTGACAATTAACTGCACACGATACGACTTTGCCCAACCATAATAGTACACTGAACTAAAAAGTGCATGGATTTAACAAAGTTATTTTTAACTAAGTGAAAAAAAGACACTTTGTTCAAATTTTAAAGTTTCCATTTGAACTCTGAATAAAAACAGCTTTAGTCGCACCTCACAAACGCTTTTTATTCAACGTGACAAAAACTGTGTGTGCACAAAAAAAAAAAACAGTTATTATTGCATTCCTCAGACAATCATGTAAATGTTACGGCAACACCCTCTCACCCGTCTATACTGTCTGAAAAAACAATCCTGTAATATCCCACAGCAGAAATAATTTGTTTGACATTTCAAGAAACCTCATTAAGGCAGAAAAGTCTTAAGGTTGAAGCAAGATTAGACAAATATTGTGACAAAAAAGAGATAAGGTTATACTCAAGGCTGTCATATAGCATCACCTTTGTCTGAAAGAAAGGATTTTTTACCCCAAAAAACTTTATTTATAGTATTTTTTATTATTATTTGACAAAAGAAACAGACCCTGAAGTGTAAGAAGGCCAAGAAATAGATTGGTCAGGTTGGTATGCTTTCCCTCCTCTTTTTCTTTTATTTTCATACTTTTTAAACATTGTGTGAAGGATTTTTTTCTTTTCTTTTTCTTTTTTTTTTTTTGACAGTTTGGTTTGCAGAACACAAACTTATTAGTTTGACACTGAAACACAATTGGCACAAATCTATTGGCTTTTCTAGTTTTAGCTGCAACTTTTTATTCCAAAAACATTTAACAGCTACACTGTAAAATTAGATATTAAATGTTCTAAAATGTTGAAATAACAGTGTGCTACCAAAACTTATGACATCATTATATTCAGTAGCAGGTTAAATGAACTGCTCTGATTGCACTTAATATTAAATTACTATGAAGCAGAATTAAGTGGGATTGTTGGTTTCGGGCCTCAGACTGATAAAAACGTGGGATCTTTAATTGTTATTACCCTTTGTCAAGTTGCTACACACTGGAAAGCAGCCACTGGTGACACTCTTAAAAAAAACACTTGAGTTTGTGTTTATTGTGCCATCAGTCGGTTTAAACAGAATAATTAAACTCACAATCAGTCACGACAATAGAGAAGGCAAATGCAGTCGTCGTCAATTGCCTGAAATGTTTCAATGGATCTCCTCTGATTGAATCAATATGTTGTTCAAAGGGAGCAGCATCTGCCAAGGTCTGATCAGCTTTACTCCTTTTCAAGTTTCCACCTCTTTAGAAAATGTGTGGCATTACAGTCGGTGTGTGGCTCAGCCACCGTACTTCTGATAAAGACTTTCTATTCATCAAGTCGTAACTATCGATCGGCTCTTGTTAAATACCTTGATTATCGGAAAAGAATCAAAAGAGAACATTCTTTGTGAGCTTTTAAACCATTTTTGATTTGGTTATTGTTTAAAGCGACACGTCGAATCTCGTTTGCCTGCAGGTATTATTATTATTATTTTTTTGTTTTTTTGTTGCAAATGTTGATGCTTTTTGCACAAACTGAAAACGCTGTTATTCTTCTATATTTTTGAGCCTCCAACACAATGGCACAGTTATCGAACATCAATGTGTTTTGAATTTTCCCAGAGCCTCCGGTTCCCATCGCGCCACCCCAGCTGACGGCTGTCGGAGCCACCTACCTCTGGATCCAGCTGAACGCCAACTCCATCAACGGGGACGGCCCAATCATCGACCGGCAGGTGGAGTACCGGACCGTGTCGGGCACCATGTATGACCTGCAGCCCGTAGACAAGACCACACACAAGATCGGCCACCTGGATCCAGACACGGAGTACGAGATCAGTGTTCTGCTGACCAGACCTTTGGAGGGAGGGACCGGAGCCCCCGGACCTCCTCTGAGGGCCAGAACCAAGTGTGCAGGTGAGGTCTGAATGAAATTACCCCCACAAAACCACTGACATGTTTGGAAATGATTTTCCTCTTTAAATTCAGCTTTTACTGCATCATTACGACACCAGCAGCTACAAGAATCACCTGCAGATCTTGTGATGAAATTTGAGAACTTTTAAAAATGTATTTTTGCATCAGTCTGCCCTTGAGTAGAATTTGTCAGGGCAGTCATTTGGTATTTATATTTAATGGTGTTACCAAGATTTGTCAATAGTAAAACCCAGGAAGATCTAGAGTTGAGCATTTCTTAACACCTCTGGACTAAAAGTAATGATTTTAGCTGAAGTTGCTGCTGAAATGGTAAACTGGCTTAAACTGAGGTGAATCTGCAGTGAACTAAGAATAAATGGTTTAATTTGTGGTTTAGGTGAGACCTTTAAATGTAAAGTTTTATTTTATTTTTATCAGCCGGCGGCGTTGTTAGAATTTGACTGCCTGCAGCCTGAGGATAATATATTACACCACAGTTGCACCATTTTCAATAAGAGTTAAAGAAATGTAAAATGTGTTGAATCAGTCGTTTGCATTGGCTGATTTTCACAACATGATATAAAAATATGTGGGTACAATCTTAATTTCTCATTTACCTCGTTCATTTCTCTCTTTAGCAGTAGGAATCAACTTCTAAAGAGGAAATTTTATCTGCCTAAAGAGTTGTTTTGGCTAATTTCCACCTCCAAATTGGACTTTTCTTTCATCGTTTTCAATTTTGCTCATACATGAATAAAATCATAAAACAGCTAATATATATATATAAACAGTATATAGACAACAAGTGAACTCTCATAAGAAATGCCAGATGCACTTCCTGACACAATGTGGTTTCAAATCTGCAGCCTCAGATTTTTGAAAAAAAGCAGCATTGACCAATGAGCTATGCCCACAAACAAATCACCAGTACTGATTAAAAAAAAAGATAATGACTTCCATGAATAGTTAGAGCAACTTTGTCGAACATAAATCACTTACTTGGCCTCATGTAGAATTTAGAGCTAAAAACTGCCCAATCACATGGTTGACTTCCTAAAAACCCACTTATTGCACTTAATTTTCATTCTAAACACCCTCTAATTCATCAGCGGCTCAGATTAATATCATGTGTGAAGGATTGTGGCAACTTAAACAGGAATGATTATTGGTGCTGCGCTGTGGTTAGTCACACTAACATCTACACATAAACACTTTAAGAGTGCCTGATGACGCTGTACCAAGTTGCCCTTCTCACAACATTAAGCAGCTAAATTCCCCTGCTGTACCGGGACGCCAACATGAGGGACGAAACAAATCCAAGATCAGCACTTTCCCCGCTCCCGGCTAATTCTGTTTGGTGTCCGGAGAAATGCTGATGAGAAGGAGAATTTCCTCCCGTCTCTGTCCAGGGTGCAACCCCGTCTCCCCGCTGTGAAGGTCAGGAGCTCATACATTTTTAGTCTGCTTGATGGGGATGAATGAAACTCCAGTACCTGCACTGCCCTCTGAATTAGACCTGGCTTCGGTGTTGGGGTCCCGGCCCCTGTGCTACCGCCGCCGGTCACAGCGGGGAAGATTGATGGCCCTGCCTCCCGGAGCGTGTTTGAGGAAGCAGCTCTTGAACTCATCCAGGTCTCTGCTGGTTTTTGCCGCTGACAGGCTGGTTCTCAGCAGCACTGCTAATTCAACAGTTAAGACTTACAGGACACACACACACACACACACACACACACACACACACACACACACACACACACACA